CCCTTTACGCCACGGATATAAACAAGAAAGAAGCAAACGCTATAGAAAGGATTATCTTTAACTATATCTGGCAAAAGCAGTTTGAGCCATTGAGCAGAAAAATTATGAAGAACGAAACAAGCCAAGGGGGGTGGCACATTTGGGACTTAAAAACACTCGAGCAATCCTTGCAGTTGTCGATACTGATCAACACGCTTCAACGTCAACATCATCCTCTCAGCGATCTAGCAGTGTACATCCTGGGTCCCATCACGAAAAAAATTACACATGACCCATCACATAGACCTTTCTTAATGGACAATGACAAACAATTCTCTACATGGAGAGCTACTATTAAGGATCTCCTGGCAACAAACATCATCTTTGATAATATAAAACCTTGCACAATCTATAGAAACATATTTACTCAGTACCCTAATCCCAACTTAAATGATAAAAGAACTAATTGGAGAGAATGCTGGACAAACGTAGGAAGACTCCCGCCCGAATGGAAAGAAACTACGTGGAGAATTATTAACAATGTCACCATGACAAAGGAATTCCTCCACAAATTCCACCTACTGAGGAATGCGAAATGCCCAAGGTGCCATAAAGACGAGAGCACATACCATCTTTTTTATGAATGCCGTACCGCTAACCGCATCTGGAATTGGATCAACAGCACCTTCAACATCACCCTTAATTGGTACAACATTATCTACCACGCTGACCTTCCCGCTACCGACTTTAACTCTTACAGCCTCAACTGGATCACAGCTCTCACTAAAAGAATTATCTGGAAGGCAAGATGTGCTCTCCAGTTTGAAAACAAACACTGGAACTCCACCTTGTGTATCAAGAAAATAAAAAAAGAGGCGGCCATCAAAATCAAAAGTGACCAATCACTTCTCAAAAATAAAGACTTTGCAACCTTATACCATGGGACTGTCGACAAAATATGGAAAGAAGTAAACAACGTGTACCTCTTCAAAGAAGACTGGACCTAACGGGCTCCTCCTCTTATTTACCATGTGGCACCGTGGTTTATTTGCTGGACTGCTCGCAATCATCGGATCATCACTTATGTAAACCTCAGTCACTTTTTATCCTATAATTGTCGTCTGCCCATGCTACAAAAGAAATGTTGTTAACAATGTTATGATTTGCTATTAAGAGGTAACTTGTACGTATGAACCCTTCTATTATATTATATAATACTGCCACACTTGTTTGCTATGTACAACCGAAACACCCACCTATGTAAATACATGTATATATATTTCCTTTTTCTTTTATTGGGTAAAGCGGCAATCACGTGAACACTGTTTAATTCTGTAATTAATGCTTTGTATCTATCACACCAAATTGCCTGGTGTGATATAATGTAACCGTTTGTGAATCTAAATAAACTTTAATTAAAAGATAAAAGACTTGACTTGTCCAAAGTCAAGCTTGACAGTACACTGTCAGGTCTGCTACTTTTGCAAAGTGTTGGCGGTGGCACCAACCAACACACTCAATCGCAGCAGACGGGGGTGGACTGGTCTGCTTGATAGTGGGTCTCCCCAACTTGGTCTGCTTGATAGTGGGTCTCCCCAACTTGGTCTGCTTGATAGTGGGTCTCCCCAACTAATCAAAAACAGACGAGGGTGCCAGACACAATACACACAATACAACACAGACGTAAACACAACACTTACACAATCACCAGACGTTGACGTATGCGTATCCAATATGGCTGACCAAGATGGCTGCTACTCACTCTCCACAGTGGCTATCGCTGTTAATCCAAGATGGTTGCTCGTCTTGTGGTTTAACTCCAAGTGGTGACTAAGCCAAGATGGAGGAACACAAAATGCACACACTGCTAGAATTAAAGTTCCCCAAAAACTTAGGCTTAGCTTACCTAAGCCTAGCGCTACACTTAGGACTAATTTAGCCCTAACTCCCTATTCTAATACACTGCACTTCCCTACTTAAGCCTAAAAGTAGGCCTAGCACACAAAAATTAGAAAATTCACTGTCTGCAGCTCAGAAATACACAACCTACCTCTTCAGAAACACAACTCAGACTCGGCTTTATTGTACACCTGGTGAATATGATCGGTCCAGGTAAGCTTGGGGTCCAAAGTGAGCCCCAAGTACTGAAGCTTATCCTCGCACTTAATCCTGTTGCCCCCAATCCTGATGGTAGGCTTTCTCTTTAGGATGTTATCCTTCGGGAAAACCATGCACCTACTTTTTTCATGGTTAATAATCAGCCTATTGCTTGTGCTCCAGCTCTCAACCCTTTTCAGGAACTTGTTGGTGTACCCCTGAAGCACCTCCTGATTTTGGTGGGAAAGAAGCACGACGGTGTTGTCCGCATATCCTTGGATATACGGGCTCCCCTCCATCTGAAAACTAACGTTGAGGTTGAGGAGGCTGTTATAGGGGATCGTCCAGAGGAGCGGCCCCGATTATGAGCCTTGCGGGCAGCCCCGGTTGATGGGGGTGCAGTAAAGAGTGTGCTTCTGATTGGTGGCCCACGCATACCTATCAGAGAGGTAGCTCTGAACGAGATTGAAAAGGTTCTGTGGGCAGCTGTCCTTACCCAGCTTGTAGAGAATAGCGGGCCACCAGGCATGATTGAAGGCCCCTTTGTAGTCGATGGACACCATAAGGGTGTGCTTCCCCTTCTGTTTGGTCGTCCGAATGTAGTCGAGGACCTTCCCCACTGCGTGGTGATTCGACTTGTGTTTCTTAAACCCGAATTGGGCCTTATGGAGCCCGTTGCGGGATTCCAGATGAGAAAGAATCCTATTTCCCATGAGAGAATCAAGGACCTTGCCAATGACAGAGAGAAGGGAGATGGGACGGAAATCGGAGACTTCAGCCGGAGTATTATCTTTCTTCTTTGGAATAAGTCTGACGACCGCCTCCTTCCAGTCCCTGGGGAAGTACCCCTGGTTGAAGCAGGAGTTACCAGCAAAGAGAACCAGAAAAATCGTAGGAATGGCCTGATAGGCATGCTGGGCCATCTTCTAGTTGATGGCATCCCCTCTTGGGGCTTTCCTTTTCTTGATTTGTTGGAATTCCTTCTTGATTTCCTGGGGGGTAAAGGGGGGGTCCATAATGTTATTCTGATAGTGCTTCCCGTATTCCCTGATATGGTGTTGCTCCTCACTGTCCTCTGCTGGGTCATCCTGCGGGAACAGCTCGTCGAAAATAGCCCTATAAGTGTCCTGCGGATTGGTGGTGTACCCGTTGGGAGTACTGATGGTCTCTGGTATGCCCAGGGTCTTCCGCTTCTTGAAAACCGCATAAAACGGGATGTCCCAAGGGCTCTTATTACTGACCTCTGTACACAGCTTCTTCCACGATGTAGTCCTGGCCCTATTTATCATCGTCTTATACTCCCTAAAGAGGGTGAGATAGCTCTCCTTATGGGCTTGCCTAGAAACGGGATCCATACTCCGCAGGTATTTTTTTCTAGCTTTCCAGACCCTTTTACGTTTATCAGAGAGCTGTTGATTCCACCACGGGGCCGAGGGCCGCTTTGGCTTGACCCTGGTAGAAAGGAAGAAGGCCTGTTTGATTGTCTCTTGTAGGTGCAGAACCGCTTGGTCAATCTTCCAGGTGGAGTCCAAGTTGCGCAGGCAACTCGGGTCCCACTGACGTTTAACCAGCTCCTCAAAGCTGGCCCAGTCCGTTTGGTTAACAATTATCAGGTTCTTCCTACACTGATGGTATTCAACCGTAGTGAGGATGTAGGCGTGGTCACTCGTAGAAGTGTAGTCCATGGTGTAACAGTTGGTATTCAGACGGGCCAGAGTGTCGTTGCCGAGGCAGAGATCCACCCAGCTCTTCCCATGACTGTTGGAGAAGGTGGGCAGGCTACTGGAGTTAAGGGAAACAAGTCCCAAATCGGACATGAGGCCCATGACCTCCCGACCCCTCGGGTCCTCTGAGGGACTATACCAAATGGGCGACTTTGCGTTGAAGTCCCCACACACTAACTTGGGGCCCGGGGGGAGCCCCTGGTAAATCCCCTTGATCTCCTGAAGCAGGGGGGCAATGTCCTCTGAAGGTGGACAGTAGACGTTGATAATGTAAAGACATGTGGCGCTGAGGTCCACACTGATGGTAGTGATGTGAGGGGTGCAACCTTGGGCGATAACCTGGCAGTTGATATTCTTGTTGTAAATAATAAAGCCCGTTAGAATAGTACCCTCATGACCGCTGCCCGTGAGGGTATGCCCCCTACCAAGCAGAGCCACCTTCCCGTTGCGAGTATACGGTTCCTGGAACGCCAGAATGTCGATGTCGTGGTCAGCCGCCGTTTGGACAGTCGCCGAGGCCGCCGCTTTACATTTCTGCAAGTTAATTTGCAGAATGTTCAGTCGGTCCTTGTAAAACTTATGGTTGTCATCGAACGTGAGAGCAAGACGGGGGCCGTTTACAAAGGAAGAAACCACCTTAGGCATATTGTGTCTTACTTATCTGTAGCAGTTTTTGCCATTTCAGTCTTGGACGGCCCTTGTCAAAAGCGTTATGGTCAATGTTCATTTTTTTCTGATCCGAGGCCTCTTTGTTGTGTAGATGACAGTTTATGCACTTCGGGTCCTTGATCAGGTTCGGGCATTCCTTAAACTTATGCCTTTTGGCGCAGTGGCTGCATCGTTGCCTCTCCACACACCTGTAGGAGGTGTGCCCGAAGCCACAACAGTTGAAACACCGGATTACCGGTATATAGTCATTGACTCTAAGCGACAACCACCCCACAAAGATACGGCCGCTCTCCATGATGGCGTTCCTTGTGTTCGGTGGGACCGTCATGATAACGTGTTTAGTTCCCGTTTCACCCCGTGGGCCAAAACTACGGTCAACCCTGATTTGAGCAGGGCACTCCTCCTTTGTCGTGTATAAATTCAAGCTGGGGTTCTCCTCGTATAAATTTTCGATCAGGGATTGATCTTCGATGTTCTGGGGTACATTAAATACAATTATTTTAGGCATCCTCTTACTCCTTTGGGAAGCTTTTAATTTGTGTCTGAGCACCTCATTGCCCTGGATGGCCACTTGCAGTTTGTCGGCATCGTTGCCATCCGTGGTCTTGATGTCAAGGGCCCCACTTGGAAGGGGACGAACTTGTAGGATTTTCACTCCCAACAGTTTAGGTTTAATGTTGGCTTGTAATAGATCCATTATTTCTTCCGGAATAAGCCCCCTTCCCTCCGGGATGGGGATGGCCGAGACAGTTAAGCTATGATCGCTTTTATTGGGATCCATGGAACTGCCCTTGTTCGCTGAGTTGGCCGCAATGAGCTTAGCGATAGCACTCCGAGGGCGGGTGTCCCACTTAACGACCTCCGAGTAGGAGACTTGGCGTTCCGGTGGGCTGGGCAGGGAATGGGATTGGCCGCCTCCCTGAGGGCGAGGACCATCCCGAAGACCCGGTTGGCAACAGCGTGAAGTTGCACAGCCGCCTCACGAGCCCGAATGCGATCAGCTATTTTAATCGTAAGATTACTTTCCATAGGGATGGCACTTAGAATGGCCTCCAAGCAGCTGTTGGCAGAGGAAATGAGCTCCTCTTCCGCAAAGCTGGTATTGAGAGGATCGCCTATCTTGGGATACCGAACGCTCCGCCGAGCAAAACAGAAACCACGAAAATAAACCACAAAGGGAGTTGATCGAAGTGCCCCCTGAAACAAACCCTGCCCAAAGAAGGGCGAAAAAGGACGGCCCGATCGATATATAACCCCGGCGGGTACGACAACCAGGGCCCGAGAAAACGGGCGAAAAGCCTGCAGAATTAGGGTCAGTAAGGTCCAGGTGACCCGACCACGTGGCGAAGTCAATGGCCTTTAAGTTCTTTGTCTGGGCCGATTTTAAAAAGACGTGATAAAACGAGAACGAAAGAACCTATCTTAACGAAATTTTTACCGTGCGTGAATACCGCAGAGAGAAAATAATTGCCCAGTTATAAAGGACCCCGGAAACCCGAAAGGCCCGCACGCCGGCCCGAAAACAGAAAACTTCCGTACAAAATAAAACGAGAACGGATGAGCGCAGATAAACGAAATAAACTGCGGATAAAAGCTATTTGCAAGCCGAATCAAACGATGTATACAAAGCCCACTCACCATCGGAAATAGCCCGGAAAAAACCGCCGGCGAACCTGGAAATTCCGAGGTCCGTAGCTCCTAAACGGCTAATCCGATCCGAAAATTCCACATATTGTACGGGAGCCCTCGACGAGACGAACCGAATGGTATATAATAATCCACAGGCTGACTAAAAATAACGCCGATGCGACGACCGAAAAGCGGAGCACACACAACACACATCCTAACGGTATCGCGACACGTTGTTCACTATCTCCCAGGTAGACAGAAGCATAATATAACTAATTAAGGACAAAAAGTATATATTACTTTTTAGTTGATGATTATTGTTGTTATTATTATTTATTAATTGATTTTAAAATTATCGAGTTGAACAAATCGTAAAAAATATTAATTTTATTGGAGAACACATATTAAATTTAAAACTGTCTTACGTTTTTCCACGCAGCTGTGACACTATCCATTCGTATCTCGTATTCGGTTGGATTTTCTCTTTCTCTCACAGTTTTGACTGCATCGTTCTCTCTTTCTTGAAGGAGGAGAAAATCCTGAATTAAAATTTTTAAAATGTTAGAGTTTTAAAAGTAAGTTTGTGCACAAGCTCAATATGAACAATGCGATTAAGTCGGTTTTCGACTTCTCCAACATTAATTACGGGCAATCGAAAAACTCCAGAAATATTGTAAACAGCTCATTTATCGACAAACACTTAAGTGTTTAAGTTGATTTTCAAAATTTTTCAAGATAGAACCTGTTTCCTTATGTTTGTAAAACTTGTGCTGAATAATTGTATATTACGAGTTCTCGGACATTAGTCAAATGAGTTATTATCACAGCGAACAAGCCAAAAAACTAAAAACACAAATTTATCACTCTTTAAACTGCTGAAGAGTATTGATAATGTCAGCCTATCATTCCGGGTAATATGGGATTATATCAAGCAAGCCAGTATCCGATAATCATCAGTATATATTATAAAGGTAAGTGTACAATGTGCATACCGCTAAAACTCAAAAACGAGTCCCGGTATGATCAAGGGTGTTATATGGTGTGGTAGTCCTCTACCCCCATCAATGATGAAGGTTCCCGCTTTTACCTGAAAGGCGTGCTGTTGAAAATATAAGGGCTGGAAGTTTCGCCCTCTGGAAATTTCAAGAACAGACCAGAACATTCGAGAGCATTCGAGAGCATTCCACAACATTCCAGAATATTCCGGGATGTCCTACAACATCCGAGATCATTGTGAAACATTCGAAGCCTTTTTTGTATGGATGGGACTACCCATTGGTAAGGGTATATAAAGCAAGATCCGTCGTTGGTTCGAACGTCAGTTTCTTATCACTTACGAAGGGAAGAACCGAAAAAGAAGTGAAAATTCCAAAGTAGTGCAGTGAGTGAATAAAAACAAACAGTGAAGTGTGAGTAGTCACAGTGATACAGTGACTGAATATAAATCGAAAATAAAATGTAAAAACTGCCTAAAGTGTACTTAGTGTTTTAGATTTCTGTATATCTATATCTATCTAAACATAAAATTACTTGTCTTGACTGAGTGAATGAATGAATAACTGACTGACTGACTGAATGACTGATTTAACATCGCCCAGAGCAAACCGCTGAAGCTAAAGAGGTGAAATTTGGTGCACAGTTAGGGTACGTCATGAAAACGCACACTAAGAAGGGATTTTTCGAAATTCTCCCGCGGGGGGAGAGGAAGAAGATTAAGGCTTAACCGGAAGAACGGCTTCTACTGTACTAATTTAGATGCGATGTATTGTTATGTTTAATCTTCGTTAAGTACTTAAGTGTATTAAATTAATAATATTTCAGACATTGTTATAAATATTTTTATACTATCTGTTACCCGCGACTTCGTCTGCGGAGGTTCTGCAAGCAAAACCCCATTTACATTCAATATTTCAATAACCATAGTAATTGTTACGTAACACCTACCGCTGAGAATGATGAGAATTGCCGAGAATCAAACGAACTATTTTCAATTTGATCAATTTTCTGGAACGTTTACAATCGTTCTATAATCGAACCAATATTTTTGCAATAACAAATTCGAATCTGAAACGGTTCGAACATTTTAAAAATCGAAATATATAAAAATATTTATAACAATGTCTGAAATGTTATTAATTTAATACACCTAAGTACTCGATGAAGACTCGATAAATAAGTACTCGATGAAGACCAAATACTCTCCCTCTCCCGCTCGTGGGGGAATTTCCAGAAATCCCTTCTTAATGTGCGTTTCCATGATGTACCCTAACTGTCTACCAAATTTCACCTCTGTAGGTTAAGCGGTTTGCTCTGGGCGATGAGAAATCAGTGAGTGAGTGAGTCAGTCAGTCAGGACAAACAATTTTATATATTTAGATATTTCGATATTTAACCAAATGTTCGAACCGTTTTAAATTCGAATTTGTTATTGCATATTGATACGATTATAGAACGATGGTAAACGTTCCAGAAAATTAATCAAATTGAAAATACTTTGTTTGATTCTCAGCAATTTTCATCATTCTCGGCAGTTGGTGTTATATAACAATTACTATGGTTGTTGAAATACTGAATGTAAATGGGATTTGCTTGCAAAACCTCCGCGGGCGAAGTCGCGGGTAACAGCTAGTATATACATAAAAATGGACGTGTTTGTGCCTATATTTCACTCTGCAGCCAAAACTACACATCACACATGAATGCTGTTTGTGTGTGGAGTAGTCCCAAGTCTCTCATCGTGCAGTATGGTGGTTTCGTCTCGATAGCTATAAGGGTATGGGAGATATGGGGTTGAAAGTGGTTAACTTCGAAAATGTGTAACAATGGAAGTGTCAATAATGGAAGTGTTAACAATGGAAGTGGTTAAGAACAATTGAAGTGTTTAGAGAAAGCGATATGCAAGATTTACAGGCGCAGATGAAGTTTTTTGCGTTTCTGCGAGAAATCAAACATATTTTTAGACCCATCTAGAAATTTTCTAATTTTCTGGAAACGGCAAACTAACTTTTGCATTCTGAGAAAACGGGTAAGATTGGCTATAACCTAATAATCTTAATCTTCGCTATGGTTACTTTTTGCCCGAGCAAAAAGTAAGTATAGCGAACCCGAGCGGCTAGTTTATTTATAAAACTAGCTGCTCGGGTATAGCTGCTCGGCTATAGTAAACCCGAGCAGCTAGTTTCTTTATAAAATAATCTATTGAAAAAAATCCATCATATATAACCTTCATTACAGTCACTATGGGCTTGGCGAAACATGGATGGACATAAAACGCACATTTAAAAACCCATACAGAAAACAGCATTGAAAAAAAAAACAAAAACATAAAACAGAGATTCTGTTTTCATTTGAAGACTTCTAATCGCCTTACAGCGATAGAGATCAACGTATTCTGATCGAAACTCTTAAGATAATTTTAGTCAACTTGCTTTCGATTACTGGGTGCTACTCCGTTACTATAAGAATTTCTGTACACAAAGCAAGCTGACATCGCTGTGTTACGTTATTCTTATTATATACAACGAATTTCATTTTTTGCTTATTTACGAGAATTGTTTTCAGGAACTTCATCAAATCTTGAATTTTCTTCATTCTAAACTAAAATGTATTTATTTTTATTTTTTGATTTTTTTCTGAAATTAATTTCAGCAAACAATAACACTTAAAAACTTAGTATTTTATGTCCATCATTATGTTACATTCGTTAATCTTAAATGATTCAAACTCGTTCACAGAATACAGATTTGCATGATACATGGTAAAGTTGGTAGATAAAAACGATTTCATATACAAGTGGAATCATTTTACAGTTTTTCGTTTAAAAGATTTCAGGTTCGTTGTAAAATTTAACACAGAATATTGTTTATTCAGCAACTTTTTTCCTCTGGGCAGGTTTTCAATTTATTCAGATTCTGTTATGGACAAATTTTAATATTTGATATCTCTATCCACAACAATATTAATAATTATATGTTAATATCTTCGAAGTAGTTCTCAATTAGTTTTGCAATTAGAAAATATGAAAGGACAAATTTTAATATTTGATATCTCTATCCACAACAATATTAATAACTATATGTTAATATCTTCGAAGTAGTTCTCAATTAGTTTTGCAATTAGAAAATATGAAAAGAATAATTTTAAAATTGTTCCTTACCTGTATCCTTTTTAACGAAACCAAAATTTCTGCAACAAAACCCACTGCTTGAGAAAACAGACCAACAATGTTGCTATACATATACATTGAAAATGTCATTGTGACGAATATAATTTCGGCATTTAACTGTCCTCCATATAAAAAGAATGCGAGATATGCGAGGAGAGTAAATAATTTCGATGTAGGATATGACACGATATACGATATTCCGCTTGCATATAAAAACATTCGAATTTTATTCATTTCTTTCCTGCAAATAGAAACAATTAAATAATACAATTGCGGAGCTCCGAAAATAATTATCTAAAACACATTAGCGTATCGAAATGACAATAAAACCACTGTAAAAAGGAATCGGATGGTGTCAAATATTTTCTAAAGTTTGTGATTTATGCTCTGAATAGAATTTATTTTTTAAAACGAAAATACGTTTTTGAAAAATTTTCTCTGTTTAAGCAGTTATTCGTTCCGTTTTAGCCAGGTTTTACTGTATTTCAGTGCACTTACATTCTGATTTTTTCTAATAATGCGACATATGGCAATTCCCAGGTGTACATCTTGATTAACCTCATATCAGCAATCATCTCGTTCAACAGATTCAATCTTTCGTCTCCCAATACAGCTGCTTGTAATCTATTATGAAAAAATATATATATAAATATATACTCCTATGAAATGATATAAAATTAAATACTGGACGTATATTTTATATCTAAAGACAATACAGTAGAGCCTCGAAAACTCGGCACTCGATAACCCAGCACTCCGGATAACTCGGCCACACCCTGGCAGGGCAAAAAATCCTTAGTTGATTCNACATTATATATATATATATATATATATATGTACTCTTATGAAATTATATAAAATTGAATACTGAACATATATTTTATATCTAAAGACAATGTTTTATTTGAACGAAGTCCTTTATTTTTCTAGCACTGAATATTATAAGAGTTTTGTTTATGCTATTTCAACAACTTTTTACACTGAACTCTCCTGAAGAAAGCAAATACGATATGCAAATTCTCAGATAAAGAGCGAATGTGTAAGCTTCATTAGATGAATTTTTTGTATAATTTCAGTGTGATAAGCAAATATCGAAACAGGACTACAGTACACATTGGTTCTATTTGAAATATCCAAATCAAGTTATACATAAAAATAGGTGTTTTATGCTGTGCCTTTATAATTCAATTACGAACATGACAGTAAAATTCCAAAATAGCCAGTTTGTTCGCAATGTCCCAAAGAAGTCATCTCGATGATAGTCAAAGATAGCTGGCAAGCATTGGGTAGGCTAGAATCTGGTCAAGCTATTGAAAAAGCTGCTCAATTTTTCCGTCAGTCATTCTGAAATTTCATCCATGTACTCAATTCCAAGTTTCTGGGCCAGTAAGCAGAAGGCCAGCTTGTGTCGCTGTCAAGTTAAAACATCTTCTAGTGACTGTTACTTCGTATTATCAGTAAGTTACAATAGGGAGATAACACACCTGTATTACGTGCAAGCCTGGTTGCATCTACAGGAAGGCCTAAAACTGTAAGGAGAGATTGCATGCACATGATTTTTATGCGCGAAGGCCAAATATTTCTGTTTCATTGTTTTTCAGGCAGAGAGAAGCCATTTACACATGGTTCAGGAACCAGTTGCTTCGAGTATACACGATTAGAAAGTGTTCTGTTGAACAAATCAAGTCATCATATGCTTTACAGTCATCAACAAACTTTTGTGTGAAATCCAACTAATTCAGGAATGAATCGATGAACATTGTTCAGTGTCATTGTTTATCTGGTGGTAGCATCCTTATGCAAAGTGCGATTTTCTTAGATGGATGTATTGATCTCTATGTTTTCCGCTGTGACACTGCGATGAGCCAAAGTTATTGGAATGATATATTTATCCCTTTGTTGGACCTCATGTGGATGCAGTTGGTTCTGAATTCGTTCTTATAAACAACAACGTTTAATCATACCGAACTCGTACACTAACTTATGCGACTACCTAATAACGGAGAGAATTCACCCAATGAAGTTACCAGCGAATTCTCCAGTTTTTTATCTTATATATCATATATAAGATGGTCTCAAAAGAGCATTGGCTTTCCGCCAAACTTTAACAAACATTTCTCGTTTGCAAATGGAACTTCTCATTTTGACTATTTCTTTAATTTTCTAGAATGTCATACTGTACATTCGAAACCTTTTTTTGTGTCCTAATAATTGACAGAATTCACGGGCGCCTATACGTTGGGGCATATGGAGCACAAGTCTGAACGTTGAGGCATTCCCAGGCTTTCGTTGGTCTTTTCTAAATCCCAAAAAAGCCATAAAGTTTCGTTATCAACAAATAGAATATATTCATAACTTTTAGCATGTCTATTATACAAATAAAAAGCAACCGAATTAATGCTATTTGTCCATTCTCTCATGAAATCTGTCTATTGTTTTGAAACTACATTTCATGTTTTTAAGGCGAAGCTAACTTTTAGTGTAGTGTTTCTCAACAGGGGCGATATCATCCCATGTGGGTTTTTTTCCATGTTTAGGGGGCGATTAGCAACAATTTATATTTTGGGGGCGAAAAACAATTTTTTGGGCGGTATAGTAAAACATTATATTAAGAATAATTAGATATTTTATTTGTTATATCGTACAATAATTAAGCAAATAACATTATACTAGTCACTAATCTATTCAATGCAGTACGAATTTGGCGTTAGCCTTGTCTCTCGGCATCGGAATTTTGTAGTGAAAGGGGCGATACTACTTTGAAGAGGGCGACGATTCGTTAGAGGTTGAGAAACACTGCTCTAGTGCAACCAGAGACATCTTGTAGATATATGGAAGCTCCTTGCGTAATGTACGATGCCCTTTTTTTATAGTTTGTGTTCTCATCTTTGATAGTGTGCCGATGCAGTTGACAGCGTTTAATTCTATGTTCCTGTAAAATTTAAAGTAAATTCCTGCAGTACTTTCTGATTTGTATACGATTTTCAATTTATGCTAATTTTTTGGAAAAGAAAATATTTTACATATTAAAGATTATTTCACGTGTTTTAATTTCATGCAGGTTAAAGCAATATACTGTAAATGTTTTCATAATTTTTAAAAGTAAACATTTTTGAACAATTCAAGAAAATATGCCATTAGTACAATATAGTATTGTTTCCGGACCAAAAAATAAAGTAAAAGAAGCATTTTACAAACCGAAACCATCAAAAAACACGGAAAAATGAAATTAATAATATATGAAAAAAACAAGTGTTATATACAGATTAATTGTGAATGTGAGAGCGATCCACTTACATCGGAGATACAGGAAGTTACATGAAAAAATCAAGGGACTTGTTAAATCAATAAAACATGATTACAAGAATTCGAATTTATCTAAACATTGTGTGAAGAACTGTTGTCAAATTAATTTTAATACATTTAGTATAGTTCAATTACAGGGGAGTACGATGAACAGAAAGTTATACGAATACAGTACTTAGATATAAAAAAGTTTTATTATTAAGAAACGGGAATAACAGTAAATTCACATGAATCGTAGAATCAGATTTCCACTGATAGTCTTTAGAAGTTCGTTTTTCTGTAGGAGGGTTTCTGAATAATGTGGAAAGATAACGAATGAAACAATAACAGCAAGGGGTGTGTATAATTAAGATTTGTAACGAAGAAAACACAGGTATTACAATAATTGAACACATAATGTACTAATTATTAAAAATTAAATCTATATCTATATATATTATATATTATATATATATATATATATAT